TAGACAACACACTCAACACATATACAAGGGTATTGAAGGAGCAATCCAAATAACGACAAAGAAACGAATTAAAGAAAGAAAATGAAGAGGACAAAAAGAAAGACATTTAACATCAATATGCTTTCTTTCTTTCAATGGTTTTTTTTTTCCTTCTAATTGGCAAAATCTAATCAATTTACCAACAAGAAAATTGATTTAGAAGATCTTAAAGAAGTACATAGTGTTGATAAGATCCAGATCTAACACTTTAAAGAACATAAGAATTTTTTTTTTTGTTATATATTTTTGTGATAGAACATGAACATTCTACACAAACTGAGAAAAAAATTATAAGAGAATTAAAAGAGATAAGCGCAATGAAACATATATCCGATCTTGAGCCTGAAGCTCTGATACCAAATGATATGGAAAATCAACCCAAGGGAAAGTATGAAACGGATTACCTTGATGATCAAGATCAAGAGTAAAGAAAACTCGTTTCTAAACTCGTGATTCAAATCACTCCACAAGAGGTTTAATCAATACCACTAGAATGACTCTACATGAAAGTTCTAAACACAAGAATTTGCAAAGAAAGTTTAGCTCTCAACAAAGCTAAAAATAGAAATTCTATTCTTAATTCCAAAATCTGATGTCTAATCAAAGAAAAGAAGGCTTTATATAGCCCTTACAACCTTAACCTATGTGATATATAACTCCCAAATTAAATGCGCTAGTAAATGAAAAATACTCTTAACCTTCATATTAAAATGACTAGTTAATGGTGGAATATAGTAACCTATGTGGATTACAATATAATCTTAAGTCCTATATTTAAAACTAGCTTAAATATGACAAACAAATATTTAAACTGTAATTAAATAATGCAATTAATAAAATGTGCTTATTGACTCATCCTTGGACTAGTTTCATAAATTCAGCGGAGTTCATTAAATGCAACTTAAATGCATTTTAATTCATCTCTTTCTTGAAGCTCAACTTTGCACAACATATAAGAGAGGTCTCCAGCGTCTTCTAGAATTTTCTTTGATGAGCTCACCATAGCTTGAATATAACTGTATAAGATTTGTTGTAGCTTCTTAGCTCTCGTCCTTGTAATTGGACCTTGAGGTATGGAAATTTCTTGGTCGTGGTTCATATCAGTTTGGAAGGCAGGATATTGGGATCAGACTGATCATCATCAGATAAGAACTCAAAGGAACTAGTGGAAGTATTGTTCCCTACACTCCCAAAAATAGTCTGAATCATACGCCGGATGTAATTAGATAGATATCATCAAAATTCTATAGTCTAGTGGAGTAGCTTATGTGCCACATATACTGTTCGATTGAGTTCGTTCGAAAAACGTGGGCCAAGATGCTCTAGCCAATTCTCACGATCACGATCGATCATGGTTCTACTCCATGTCGTGAAAGTGAAACGAAGAATTTCTTTCATTAACATCGACGAATCACTATCTGATATAAACCAAGAGACATCAATCATACAATATGATTCAATGAAGATGTGAAGAAAATATTGTTGAAATTATCAAAAGATATTTCAATTCATGCCACATTGAAGAAGAATGAAGTTTCATGTTTTGAATTTTGGGTGGATTACAATTTAGAGTAATTTAGAGTTATTGTATTTCATTAATGTATTTTAAGACTTTTAATTTACTTTAGGTTACAATTATATAATGGTTAATTAAGGCCATTAAGTATGAATGTTACAACTCTTTGAATGCCTTTAGTAGTTTCATTTTGAGTCTATATAAAGCCATGTATGTTGTATTTGTAAATAGACTTGGAAAATATATAGTAAAAGAAACATTTGTGCTTTCTTTAGCCAATGGCTAAGTTTCTTTGCAATTCTACGTAGTTTAGATTGCATGTAGAATCATTCAAGCTCGACATGATCAATCTTGCTTGTGGAGTGATTCGAATCTCAAACAAGTGTTTGAGATATTTGATCAACAAGAATCATTCAAGCTAGACATGATCGATTTTGCTTGTGGAGTGATTCGAATCTCAAACAATGTTCTTGCCTTGAGATATTCGATCAACAAGGTAATCCAAATCTTACTCCCCTTGTAGTGGTTCCTTACCTTATCACTATCTTTCTTTCATCGGTAGGGCGATCAGTCTTTTCTTTCTGTGTGTAATCGGAGTGTAGCACCTCTCTTTATGGACCTCCACAGATGTAACAAAAAGTAGAATTTTGTCTGTGTATAAGCTTGTGACTTGATCTGCTAGTGCTGGTTCGATTCCTACTGAAATATGAAATGATCTATAGGGATTTTATGTTTCTCATCCATTCTTTGAGTGAGTCCGATAATCAGTTGGCTTGCTTCACCGGTCTGGCTCATCGGCTGATTAATGACTAAATCAGAGTCGAAGAGGTTCTGACTTTTCAGTGGAAGTTGAGCTTGATAAGGCATCTCTAATCCTCAGCCCAACGATCCAAGCTTTTATTTTAGCAAGAACCCTTGAATCAAAGTAATTAACACCTTCTTATGCGAAATTTGGATCAACCAAGAGATAAGGATAGAATTAGATTACCTCTTTAGATCTTCGATTACCTCTTACGATCGAAGATCTAGAAGCAAGATTTGGAACCTTGTTCTAAATTGAGTCACTCCACAATCTAACTTGATCAAGGCTTGATTGAATGACTCGGGTGCAATTCTACCACAAGAATTGCTTGAAACTTAGAAATGGCAAATATGATGCTCGGATTTCTAAGGGAAACGTCTCAATTTGAGATCTGAATTACGTTTATCAACGAATCTGATTTTTACATAACATATTGTCGGTATTTATAGTCTTCCGACAAAAGACGTTTGTGGCCAGGATTCAATCCTGATCCCCTTTAATCTCCACAAATGATGAAGTCAATTTTGACCAATTGACCATTGCAAAATGAAAACAAAACAAAAAACAATAAAATCTTTCAATAAATGTTGATATGTTTAAGTGGCTAAAAAAATAAACTTAAAATCTATCAGGCTTCACTCGTGTAGGTTCAAACCCTGTTGTTGACACTTTTTAATGTTTGTTGAATCTTTTTCGCCTTGGATCGTGTAATAGGTTCAGTTGGACCATTTGAAACACCGTGATTCTTATCAGAGCTCGTCGTGCTCTCCGTGACGTGAGTGTTCGTTGACCCTGCCCCTGATTTTCTTATTTCTATTTGTGACGTCGAGTGCACAGATGCAGCTGATCTTAGCAAATCAAAATAGCTCCTCTCCCTATCGGTCTCATAATTCCACAATTATGGCACAGGGGCTTCTCCATTGCTAGGTATCGGGCCATTGGGGGTGGAGCTGGTGGCCTACTCTGATATCAAGGTCTCTGGGGCGGTGGTTGGAATTCTGTGGTTTCGACATCACAGGGCGTTTCCTCCCTGTGTCCTTAGAGCCTCTTCATAGGTTTTTGGGTTAAAGGCCTCTAACATGCGGCGGGTCTTCGGGTTCAATCCCAACACAAATTTTTCTGCCTGTTTCTCTTCGGTGTCAGCTAATGATGGTGCAAACCTTCTCAATCTCATGAAGTCCTGATCATACTGATCCACCGTGCGATCACCTTGGTTTAAGTGGTTAAACTCTTGTTGTTTCTTTATAGGGATTTCCTTTCGATAATAATATTTTAGAAAGGCTTCCATAAAGGTTTCCCACGTTGTAATTCCTCCGCCCGAGTTGATGCTCTGTTTATTATCCGACCACCACACTTCTGCATCTTTTTCTAACACATATGTCACACACGCCACCTTATGTTCATCAGGGAATCTCATTGATTCAAAGGTCGTTTCCATGTTTGCGATCCACATCTGAGCCACTGCGGGATGTTCCTTTGAACTGACAAAAGGACAGGGGTTATACTGTCTGAAATCCTTTAGCCAACTCGCACCCCTATCCGGATGCGGGTTGTTGACCAGTTGTATGGCTACTGCCTCCACCGGTTGCGGGGCCGTTGTGTTGGCTGGTTACGTTGCCATTGCCGTGACTTGTTGCGTAGCCAACAACGTGGCCTGTTGTGTGTCTAGCATAGTTTGCATAGTTTTTTTGGAGGGATTCCAACATTAACCTTGTGCGGGGTCTAACCCGGCCTGTGGTGCAGCTTGAGGGGGCGGTGCGTATTCAGGAGGGGGTACAGCTTGTGGGGGAGGTGCATATTCAGGTGGTACGATTTGTGAGGGAGGTGCATATTCAGGAGGTGGTACGGTTTGTGGGGGAGGTGCGTATTCAGGAGGTGGTACAAACGCATATGGTCCGGTAGTCGATCCCTCTTGGGAAGAGCTTCTATCGGCTTTTCCCCTTCCCCCTCTCCTAATGGGAGGTTGTCCTCACCCTCTCCTACCTCTTCTACGTCCTCTGTGCGGCATGGTTCTAGAAGCCAAGAAAAGGGTTCTAGCTAAGTTTATGACTGACTTATAACTACATCCTATCTTATAATTCATATAGAAGAAAACATAAATATCATAACGTAAAACGTAAAGACATGCATTACATCAGTTCACATCACAACACATTTTCATACAGTATCATGTCATGCATCATTTAAAGCCAACCATATTAAATATATCACAAAGATCATACATCCTTCATCCTACTTAAGGCATACCTGGCAACGACGGGGCACCGGTAATTGGACTGTGGAACATGCCAAGCCTACTCTGTAGGCTAGTCTACAAGATCTATAACTTGGCTCTGATACCAACTGTAACGGCCCTATAATTTTTTTACCTATTTAATCTAAGGTCATTACTATACCTTGGAATGCGGAATATACATTAAATGGGCCCTTTTCATAAATGCGACTTACACTCGCCTTTTATTACCTCGTGAAAGAGAAAATGATTACAAGGGAAAAAGGAACGAAAATTGAAATGAATGTTTTAATTCTACCCTATGGTTTATTATGCAAATACAACTCAACCTATACTAACCTATACTAGTGATGCAAACCGAATCAACTTAGACTATGAAATGGAAAAAAAACAACTACCCTATGCATGTGCCACGGTCGCGAGGTGTACGATGTCGCCGTCGTTGTCACATGGGTGCCTTGCCTTTATCTGCAAAAGTAAAGTAGCACAAGGCTTGAGTATTTCTAGAATACTCAGTAAGTGACCCCCTATCGGGGTTATGCAACAATTACATGCAATGAAATGATGGGACCTATTGTTTCGTTTCGTTTTTCCTATGGTGCAATCCTAACGGGTAATCATGGACGTGTATCATATACTCTACACACAGCCCAAACATGCGAGTATGGGCTCACCAGCTAGTTCGCACACTGCTGGGCAACTGTCCTTATCTGGTGGGCATACTCTGGGAGCCCCTTATGCTGGGACCCGTTAAAACTAGAACTGTCACGGCAGCGCTATGCAATGCATAACGATCGTTGTTCTGCCATTGGATGTACACGTTCGCACCCTCGTGATGGGATGGGGGTATCCCCCCAGATGCATGAACACACATAATGCATGAGGTCCCCCTATTTCTACATTTATCTTTAATAACCATAACCCCCCTGTCATGTTCCATGCTTCATGTTATTCTCATTTTCAATTCACATTTCATACACATTTCTATCGAGGTTATGATTCCAGACAGTTTACCGTGTTTCATGTCATACAATTCATGCGGTTCACATTCACATATTCCATACAAACATACCATAATCATATCGTCACATGCATAACATATCACATCAAACTAAGCAGCATACATTCACGTTCACATGATTTCATACTTAAGCACATTAAACTAGCATACAATTTAATGACACGTGCAAATCCACAGGCACGTGCCAACATACAGTAAATAACGCATAACCTACGACGGGTGAGCCACTTACTTGGTAGGCCTTAGCCGAAGTACTCCCTAGAATATAACGTAAGCTCCTAGCTCCTCGTGAACGTCCTACGCGTCCGTTGGTGGTTGGTTCCTAATGATTCATTCGTCGCTTTCGTTAGTATTTCACAAATATAATAGATTCCCAACTGGAATTTGTGAAATACGACCTTAAAATGTTCCATTTTACCTTAAACAGGGCCAAAACCCGGTCCGGGAGGGTCGGAATGGTGTCAAACGGGCTGAAAATAGGTTTCCTGAGCCGAATAAGCCGCCAGAGACTCAGGCCGTGCGTGGTGATGGGCCGATTCATGGGTGACGGGCTGTGCGCGGTGATGGGAAAGAAATGCAGGCGGGCTGGCTTATGCGGTTTGGGCCGCGGGAATCGTCAGGTTCTGGGCCGACCGAAGGGAATTGGGTTCGGTTCGAATTGCGGGGTCCGACCCTCGGGTCAGACTTCGTCCTCTTCGCCCGACTGCCTACGCGATTTTCTGGCGACCTTTCTCTCTCCTCGACAACGTCGTTTCGACGTCCTTTTTCCCTCTTTTTCCTTCGTTCCCGAGATTCTTCTTCACCCTAACCCCGTTTTTTGGTACAGATTTCATTTGTAAGAACCTCACACTCCCGAATCTAGAGAAGTTAGGAAGTCCGACATTCCGTCTTCCTTGTCGATGGTGTTAAGCATAAGGGATTCATCTAAAACCTACTCCTAATGTGTGTAAAGGGTTCTGGGATTACTTTTGAATGGAGGTTTTGACGTCGATTCGTATGGTTCGGCTTCGCAGGCATTCGGTCAGGTTTTCTGTTCCTTCTCATTTTTACCGTTTTCGTTACTTTACAGGTCATTTCAGGGTGGCTGAAGGTCGGGGACAAGATCTGTGGCATCCCAACCCTCGGCCGCCCTTTGTGGGTCGTGTGCGGGCTAAAACTCCGACGTTCGTCGGAGTTTTCAGCTCGCCTGACGACCCTCACCGTTTTTTTTTTCCGCTGAATTGTGATGTCCCACATTGGTTGGGGAGGAGAAAAAATCACCATATATAAGGGTGTGGAAACCTTCCCCTAGAAAACGCATTTTAAGCCTTGAGGGAAAGCTCGAAAGGGAAAGCCCAAAGAGGACAATATCTGCTAGCGGTGGATCTGGGCTGTTCAAATTGTATCAAAGCCAGACACCAGACGATGTGCCAGCCTTCTCGCTGTTCCCCGAAGGGGGGTAGACACGAGACACGAGGCAGTGTGCCAGTAAGAACGCTAGGCCCCAAAGGGGGGTGGATTTGGGGGCGGTCCCACATCGATTGGAGGAAGGAAAAGAGTGCCAACGAGTCCCACATCGATAAGGAACCACTACAAGGGGAGTAAGATTTGAATTACCTTGTTAATCGAATATCTCAAGGCAAGAACATTGTTTGAGATTCGAATCACTCCACAAGCAAGATCGATCATGTCTAGCTTGAATGATTCTTGTTGATCAAATATCTCAAGACAAGAACACTTGCTTGAGATTCGAATCACTCCACAAGCAAGATCAATCATGTCGAGCTTGAATGATTCTACATGCAACCTAAACTACATAGAATTGCAAAGAAACTTAGCCATTGGCTAAAGAAGAGCACAAATGCTTCTTTTACTATATCTTTTTAAGTCCCTTACAAAAACAAACATATATGGCTTTATATAGTCTCAAAATGAAACCACTAAAGGCATTCCAAGAGTTGTAACATTCATCCTTAATGCCCATAATTAGCCATTATGTAAATGTAACCTAAGGTAAATAAAATGTTCTAAACTACTCTAAATTATAACCCACCCAAAATTTATAACAACCAAACTTCTTTCTTCTTCAATGTGGCATGAATTGAACACCTTTGGATAATTTTGACAACCTTTTCTTCACATCTTCATTGAAGTATATTGTATGATTGATGCCTTTTGGTTCATATCATTCTCCACTTCTTCAAGAGGATCCGTCCTCGAATCTATTTGTGAAACTTTGCTGCAAAAAATAAGCTATGGAAATACAAAGGACCTCACAACACTCTCTCACGTGTATACACTCAAGGAATTTTAGGCCACCCTGTTTGCACTCATTTACACAAATGAATCTCTCATTCTCACCTCTCAAAATTTGAAATAGAGCAAAGATTGAATTTTGAATTCTAGGTCGATCAAAAATTAAAAAGATAAAAATAAATAAAAATCAAATTGAAAAGAAATGCAAAGGAAACATATATCCGATCTTGAGCCTGAAGCTCTGATACCAAATGATAAGATATGGAACCACTACAAGGGGAGTAAGATTCGGATTACCTTGTTGATCGAATATCTCAAGGCAAGAACATTGTTTGAGATTCGAATCACTCCACAAGCAAGATCGATCATGTCTAGCTTGAATGATTCTTGTTGATCAAATATCTCAAGACAAGAACACTTGCTTGAGATTCGAATCACTCCACAAGCAAGATCAATCATGTCGAGCTTGAATGATTCTACATGCAACCTAAACTACATAGAATTGCAAAGAAACTTAGCCATTGGCTAAAGAAGAGCACAAATGCTTCTTTTACTATATTTTTCAAGTCTCTTACAAATACAACATACATGGCTTTATATAGCCTCAAAATGAAACATTCATGCTTACTAGCCTTAATTAACCATTATGTAATTGTAACCTAAAGTAAATTAAAAGTTCTAAAAACTCTAAATATTAACCCACCAAAAATTTATAACAATCAAACTTCACTCTTCTTCAATGTGGCATGCATTGAAAAATATTAACCCACCAAAAATTTATAACAATCAAACTTCACTCTTCTTCAATGTGGCATGCATTGAAACATCTTTTGATAATTTTGACAACCTTTTCTTCACATCGTCATTGAAGTATATTGTATGACTGATGTTTGTTGATAAGATAAGGAACCACTACAAGGGGAGTAAGATTCGAATTACCTTGTTGATCGAATATCTCAAGGCAAGAACATTGTTTGAGATTCGAATCACTCCACAAGCAAGATCGATCATGTCTAGCTTGAATGATTCTTGTTGATCAAATATCTCAAGGAAAGAACACTTGCTTGAGATTCGAATCACTCCACAAGTAAGATCGATCATGTCGAGGTTGAATGATTCTACATGCAACCTAAACTACATAGAATTGCAAAGAAACTTAGCCATTGGCTAAAGAAGAGCACAAATGCTTCTTTTACTATATTTTCCAAGTCTGTTACAAATACAACATACATGGCTTTATATAGCCTCAAAATGAAACATTCATGCTTACTGGCCTAAATTAACCATTATGTAATTGTAACCTAAACTAAATTAAAAGTCCTAAAAACTCTAAATTGTAACCCACCCAAAATTTATAACAATCAAACTTCACTCTTCTTCAATGTGGCAAAAAACTCTAAATTGTAACCCACCCAAAATTTATAACAATCAAACTTCACTCTTCTTCAATGTGGCATGCATTGAAACATCGTAACCCACCCAAAATTTATAACAATCAAACTTCACTCTTCTTCAATGTGGCATGCATTGAAACATCTTTTCCCACCCAAAATTTATAACAATCAAACTTCACTCTTCTTCAATGTGGCATGCATTGAAACATCTTTTGATAATTAAAATTTATAACAATCAAACTTCACTCTTCTTCAATGTGGCATGCATTGAAACATCTTTTGATAATTTTGACAACCTTTTCTTCACATCGTCATTGAAGTATATTGTATGATTGATATTTGTTGATAAGATAAGGAACCACTACAAGGGGAGTAAGATTCGGATTACCTTGTTGATCAAATATTTCAAGGCAAGAACATTGTTTGAGATTCGAATCAATCCACAAGCAAGATCGATCATGTCTAGCTTGAATGATTCTTGTTGATCAAATATCTCAAGGCAAGAACACTTGCTTGAGATTCGAATCACTCCACAAGCAAGATCGATCATGTCGAGCTTGAAAATCCTACATGCAACCTAAACTACATAGAATTACAAAGAAACTTAGATTTGATCATGTCGAGCTTGGATAAGGCAAAGAACTGTTTATGGATTTACTACACTTCATTTGCTTTCTATTCCTACTAATTTCCTTCTAATATTTTTGTGAGTGAAGCATTTAGATTTGATCAAAACATTTCAAAAGCAAGTGACGGAAAGAAGGTGATTTATGGATAATGCCAAGAACTGTTTATGGATTTAGTACACTTCATTTGCTTCCTATTCCTACTAATTTTCTTCTAATATTTTTGTGAGTGAAGCATTTAGATTTGATCAAAACATTTCAAAAGGAGGTGATGAAAAGAAGGGGATGATTTTTTCTGATTCGAGGACGAATCCTTCTGAAGAGGGGGAAGATGATAAAAATCAAAACTTTTCAAAAGGAGGTGACGAAAAGAAGGTGATGATTTTTTCTGATTCGAGGACGAATCCTTCTTAAGAGGGGAAGATAATAAGAATCACGATGTTCCAAAATGGACTATTGCCAAGAAGAAAAATGTCATGAACCTACGCACGAAGAGATCAATTGATTTCAAGTCTGTCGCATTAACCACTCAAGCACATCAACATTTGTTAGAAGAACTATGTTTAATTTTATAAATTATGTAAAAGTCAAATGGTCAATTTGACTTATTCTTTGGGGAGATTAAAGAGGATCGAGAATAAATACCGTCCATAAACATATCGGGATTGAATCCCGGCCACAAACGTCTTTTGTCGAGAGACTATAAATACCCACAATATGTTATGTAAAAAAACAGATTCGTTGATGAATGTAATTCATATCTCAAATTGAGACGTTTCCCTTAGAAATCCGAGCATCATATTTGTCATTTCTAAGTTTCAAGCAATTCTTCTGGTAGAATTGCACCCGAGCCATTCAATCAAGCCTTGATCAAGTTAAATTGTGGAGTGACTCAATTTAGAACAAGGTTTCAAATCTTACTTCTAGATCTTCGATCGTAAGAGGTAATCTAATTCTAGCCTTATCTCTTGGTTGATCCAAATTTGGCATAAGGAGGTGTTAATTACTTTGATTCAAGGGTTCTTGCTAAAATAAAAGCTTGGATCGATGGGCTGAGGATTAGGTTGCCTTATTACTAGAGGCTCGAGCATACGTTGCTTGGCGTTGGAAAGTGAGTAACGCACAATCGCAAGTTCGCTGCCATCAAAAGTGCAATTGTGAACGGGGCATGCCTCACCAGCCGAAATGCGCCATGTGTCCAACACCGATTCTGTTGCGTTCCTCCGTACGCCGGCCGACGCTTGGCGGC